AAAAACAAAAACAAAAACCTGGGCTTTTCCTGATTTGGTCTGATTTCGTTTCTTGCAACGGTGAAAAGGCCTTCAGCAGACCTAAAACTTATCACACATGAAAGCTTCCTGCTTTATTATTTTTTTCAAAAGGAAGTAAGAAATAGTTTATTCTGAAACAAAAAAAAATATGGAACACTTCATGAATTAGCATGTCATCTTTGCCCCGGGGCCATGCTAATCTTCTCTGTATCATTCTAATTTTAGTATATGTGCGAGCACTCCCTGCTTTATTTTTAAATATTTTTTTTATCTTCTATTATGTTTGTTTATGTGTGTGTTTGTATGGTAGTGTGTAGAGGCCAGAGGACAACTGTTTTATTAAGCAGCACTGTTTACCTTGTGAGTGAAGCCACGAGGCACAACAAAACCCGCTGTAAGAGTTTATTAAGGGAAGGGAATAGAAAGGGTGTGCATCGGCCTATGGAATGACCATGCAGGAAGAGAGAGAAGAAATAGGTGGAACCTGCTTTTATAGGTCCCCCCCCCCCGCCCGCCCCGCAAGCATGCGCATATGGACTTACATAGCTACACCATGCATGTGCATAGATTATGTGACCATGCAGTGTACGGATTATGTAGGATGTAAGACCTTAGTATGACTAAGCATCTTGCCTGGCTACTGGACAGAGCATGTGCAGTCTTGTAGCTGGGGGAGTGGCTAGGAATTCTAACAACTTTTACAAGTCTGGTCACTCCTTCCATTATGTGGGCCTTAGGGATTGTACTTAGGTCTCCAAGCTTGGTCGCTCTTTATTGGAGAACAAGTCTGTGGGGAACTCGTGAACTGCAGGATCTGTGCAGTTCTTAGCTGGCGGAGTTCCATTTATCAGTGCCAACAACTTTCTATTTTGCTACATGTCTGGCAGAACATGTTTGCTAGCAGAAGCTGTTTTGTGGCTCAAGCTTCTGAAGAGGCCTCATGCACAGCACACCAGGACCAGCATGGAGCACATGAAGTCAACTTGCTGTGGCTTCCTGTGAACTTTGTGTGGCAGGAGAGGTTCGCAGAGCACAATCTCCATGCACCGGGCGTCCCTGTCCCTGGGAGAAAGAAGATCCTGAGCTTGAAGGTCGGAGTGCTGCCGGTGGTCCAGCGGCTCTGGGGCTGCAGTGGGGCGATGCGCCGCTCTGAAGGAAGGTGTCCCAGGAGATAGAATCATGGTCCATGAGCAAGGCAGGCTCGGGATACTGGAGGAGGGAGTGCGCGGCATGGCCGGAGCTCAGGGTTCCCCACAGGGCATGCACAGCGCAGGCCATATGAGGGAACAACGCCTGCCTGCACGGTGGTGCTGTTGGCCTTGGCTGGTAGGTTTGGCTCAGTCTGGGTGCTTGGAGTCACTAGCTGCCTACTGGGCCTTGGCATGCTCGGAGCCTGCTGAGGTTGCTGCTCAGGCTGCTGTTGATGTGGATACTACTACCATTCGTGGCAGCAGCGGCGGCTGCGAAACCCCCACCCTGTTCCCCGGGCACACTATTTTGGAAGAACTTTTTTTAAGTTGAAAATATTTTTTCCCTTTTTTTATTAAGATTTTTTTTATTCATTTTACATATCAATCACAGATCTCTGGATCTTTGGAGGGAAGAACTTTTTTAAATCCACCCCTTCATCAGCCTCCTCCTTGGGTCCAAGGATTAAAATAATTTAAGCGGAACGTGAGGGAGATGCAAGCACATGGATGAAAACAGTGTTCCTCACGGGGAGGAAAAAAGGGAGGAGGGGGAGATTTTGGGGTGGATTTTGTTGTTGTTTCCTTAAAAAACTGTAAAGATGGAAGGGAGGAAAGCGGGTGTTAATCAAAAACACCCTTGTCTTCACAGTGTGAGTTAGAAAACGCAGCCTGAGCTGGGAAACCAGAGATTGTAAAAGAGCCACTGAGGGACTCCCGCCAGAGTTATAGACCTTAGGCTACAGTGTCAGCTAAGAGAGTAGGAAAAACAGTGGAGTATCAATAGGCCCCACTGGTCTTCTGGCTGTTTTCCAGGCAGGCAGGTCAGAGGCCTGGTTACCTCCTGTCTCAGGAGAATCATTTTTTTTCAAGGTCCTCAACAGTGAAGAATAGCAATTTGTAGGGAAAGCCAAATAGCCTCCAGGAGGGTCAAGATTTTCTCAATTTTTTCAGTGTCCTTTTTCTCAGTGGTAAGAAGCCCTCATTCATACTGTGGACATGTGTGGTAGTTAGCATAGTGACTCTCTTTGTATATGGTGATGGACTTTCCCCACCTGAGAGCCTGGCTTAGAGTGATCACTTCGGCTCTCTGGGCTGAGGTACCCGGTCCTAAATTGTTTCAGTTACAATAACTACTGAAAACTCCACATACCTGGTTCCATCTTTAATGAAGCTGCTCCCATCCACAGAGAGTACTGCACTGGGATCTTTCAGGGGAATGTCTGTTATTTCTCGGTGGATCCTCTGAACCACCATCGTTACCTCAAGACAGTCGTGGATGAACAGCTGCAGGTTGTCATCAAGCAGGATTGATGGCAGTTGGTTTCTCAAAGGGTGGTCCAGTAGTAGGGTCTGGTACTGGGTCCAGTAGTAGGGTCTGGTACCGAGTCACTGTCTTTCCCTAGGGACTTGCACTGACTCTCTTGCACATTATCAAGGGTGGGGTGAGGACAGCATGGTAGGGGGACAAAAAGAATGTGTGAGTCAGTACAACTCTATTCTCACACTAGGAAAGCTCCTGCAATATACAGGGCCTACTGATGATGACTTCCTCATGGCAGGAGTCCCTGTCATCCTGTTTAAAGGCCTTTCCCTGATCACTTACTTCAGTATCTTACTATTCTAGAAGACGCATGAACAAATATATTGAGAATTCACTTCTTTATTGAAAATGCAAGTGCTTAGGAGTATAATAATAAGTTGTTGGTAACAGAAAGAAAAGCATCTGCATCTGGCTTCTGGGCCCCTCCATAGACATCAGGGTAATGTGGTCTGCCTAGCAGGAGGAGCATCTCTGGGCCTTTATTTATGGCTTTTGATATTTCCTGTATTGTTCTCTCTTCTTCTTAAACCAGTTCTATAATGGGAGAAAAAGAAATTGGTTTACCATATAAATAATTAAGATAATAATTTAATACACATCATGTCCTTTATCTGCCAGAAGACCTTTCTTCCATACTGCTCTAATTTATGAGGGGCTGAGAGTGTGGAACATGGTACAGTACTGCAAAATAGTCCCTTCCCCCCTCCCTACAGTAATTCACTCTGGAGGAAGTCAGCAGGATTTTCAGGCAGATGCACCAGCGTGATTCAGATAATTACGAAGCTGGGTGTCCTTATCTGTGTGGCCTCACCAGATGCTTCAAAACAGCAGAGGGACCAGGCATTTGGACTCTACACTTTCCCATTCTTATCACACTCTCTTTAACCAAGCTTACATCAACATTATCAGTGCTGGGTTCTGCCTGTCCACTATCCACACACCCAAATTACTCCTGTAAGGATAGAATCTATGCTTACTTTTCAGTATTTCAAACATTTAGGATCATGGAACACCTAGCTACACTAATTTGAATCCTTTGTGTGTCATAACCACAGTGAGATGTTTCTACAGAGACATTCTACTTAAAGGATACTAATGTTAAAAGGAGTTGTACAAGATATATACATGTTTATGTATCTTATTTATCTATATATAGTACAACTATGTGTATATATACTGTGCATGCACTTTTATAACTCAAGCACATATTTATAATTTATCCATAGGATAAGTGTGTATAATATATATGTATTTAGGGAGTGAAGGTAGCTTAGTACTCACTCCTTTTTTTTTCCTTCAGGAAGTTGTGTTCCATCTTGAAATGAGCCATTTCTGTATGGTAAGGCTATCTTATTCCCCTTTCTACCTTTTTTTTTTACAAAGATCACAAAATTCTAGGGAGAGGTTTCAGTAGGCAAGAACACTTGCTGCTCTTGCAAGGGTCCTGTGCTTGGTTCCGAGCATCCAGATTGTGAGGCTCACACCTACCTGTAATTCCAGCTCTGGATGATCTAATGCCCACAATATGCTGTATACATGGACACATACATACATGTAAATGAAATAAAAAGAAAATCTGTCTTTAACAAGGTAGTTTTGGGCTGGGCAGTTTTGGTGCATGCCTTTAATCCCAGCACTCCCAAGGCAGAGGCAGGGGGATCTCTGAGGTTGAGGTCTACAGAGCAAGTTCCAGGACATCCAGGGCTACACAGAGAAACCCTGTCTTGGAAAAACCAAAATAAATAAATAAAAAAGTTAAAAATAAATATAAATGTAGTTTTGATGGTTGGAGAGATGGTTTAGCAGTTAAAAGTGCTGGTCCTCTTCTAGAGGACCTGGGTTTGATTCCTAGCACCCATATGGTGGTTCACAACCATCTTTAACTCCAGTTCCAGGAGATCTGACACCCTCTTCTGGCTTCTTCAGGCACCAGACAACACACATGATTCACAGACATAAATGCATGCAAAACAACCATGAAATATAAAATATCACAACAACAACAATATTTTTTAAAAGGTAATTTTTTGTAAGAGTGTGAAGTCAGCAACAAGGCAGCAACTTCATGGACAGAACAAAGCTGTCCTAGACCTGAAGGAAGTCCTAGTGAGGCATTCCATCAAACTTCTGTTCACTCACCTGCACTTTGGCTTCACTCACACCCATGGATGCTGCCAGTTGTTTCCTGAGGGAAACAATGACAGATGTTCAGTATTTGACATCATGGCTAGAGTAAAATATGGATAGGACATTTTATCTTTCTTTTTAAATGTTTGTCCCATCCTCCCCCTTTCTTGGAGATTTTGAGTTTAACAAATTCTACCAGTAATTTTATTTTACCAACCCATCATTGACAGGCATGAAAAGCCAAGCATGTCCCTAATAAGCAACTTGAAAAACACTAATATAGACAGCAAAAACCTAAAAAAAGGAGGGGTACTCCTAAAACTGAGTGTGGTAGTGAAGGAAACTGTCTATTAAAAAAAAGTAGAAGCTAATAAAACAAATTCACACAGGAAAAACTCATGTGGGGCTCTTTGTCAGGACAGAAGGATAAATTCAAACAAAAGAAGACAGATTAATGGGAAGCACCTGTAGCATGAATCTTAAAGGGTCTTATTAATAAAAACAAACCTGGAGCTAGGTATTGGGGTGAATGCTGAAAGATCAGAGAAACAGAACAAGCCACAGCCACCTCACCTCACCAATTCCTCAGCTGATCCTGTTTCCTCAGACTGGAAGTCTGTGTCCTCATCCAGAATGAATCTCATCGGAACTGCTGCTAAAAGCCTAAAAGCTTAACCAGACTCTAGTTCCTGGTCCTCACGCCTTATATACCCTTCTGCTTCCTGCCATTACTTCCTGGGATTAAAGGCATGTGTCACCATGCCTGGCTGTTGCCAGTGTGGCCTTGAACTCACAGAGATCCAGGCGGATCTCTGCCTCTGGAATGCTAAGATTAAAGGCATGTGTGCCACCATTTTCTGGCCTCTATATCTAGTGGCTGTTCTGTTCTCTGACCCAAGATTTATTAATATTAGGGTGCACAATATTTTGGGGAACACAATATCACCACAAGCACCCTAGGATTTCTAATGTCCTTTTAATATAGGAGGGTGTCAAACCTTCAAGGAAGTGATACGGTACATTTATTTTATTTATTTGATGTGCCCGTGCCAGGGTGCACCTGTGCCGGTCGGTCAGAGGACAACTAATAGAAGTTAGTTCTCTCCTATTGTGTGTACTGATGAATTCAGGTTCTCAGACTTGGTGGCAAGTACCTTTGCCCACGGAGCTATCTCACCCACCCCAGAAAATGAAATATTAAAAGCATAACAGACACAAAGTGAATGCTCTTTTTTTTTCCACGATACTGGCTGCCCAGTTCTGAATTTTCCCAGTGAAGTAAGCTGGGGAATGATGCTCCTTGTATGATCCAGTTCAGCTTGAGCTACAGAGTGAGTTCCTGTACCAGGAAATTCAGGAGAAAAACGACACTGGCAAGGTAGAATATGTCCAAGATTCTTGCATAAACGGACTCACAGAGACTGGGTTGGCTTGGAACTCATTATATAACTGAGGACAATTTTGGACTTCTTTGCACTTTTTATCTATCTGTCTCCGCCTCCCAATTACTGAGATGATAGAAGATTTTTTTTTTTTCTGTTTTGAGACACTACCATTCTGTAGTCCAGGCTACCTGGAACTCACTCCTGTTGTCTGATTGGCGCATCCAGTGCTACAATTATAGACAGAAGCCACTGTGTTCAATATGGAATCTTGTTTTTATGGAGAATATATTTTTTTTGGAGGGAGTAGAAATTTTAATGGGAGGCCAAAAGACAGTAATTGGGAGAACTGTACTAATAGCTGCATTTATGCAACTTAAGAAATATATGATCACAGATATATAAAAAAATTTTAAAATCATTTACTTCATGTGTGTGAATATTTTGCCTGCATGTATGTATGTGTATCACATTCTTGCCTGGTGCCGTAGGAGATGGTCAGAAGATGGAACTGGAGTTACAGATGGTTGTGAGCTGCCATGTGGCCACTGGGAAACAAACCCAGGTCCTCTTTAAGAGCAGAAAGTGCTCTTAACCACTGAGACATCTTGCCAGCCCCAAAGGTATAAAAATTTTAACAAAGGCCTTCCATCAACAGACACTGCCCAATTTTTTACAATTAAGTATATGAAAATACCTTCATTCCCAGTTTGACTAGTTCTCATCCCTCAACCCGGAACCCTAGTGCCAGAGAATGGGGTCTGGCAGCCTGGATGTTGTAGGTGGCTTTTGTTCAAGAGGGCAAGAGAGAGGCTGAGGAGATAGCTTAGCAGGAAAAGGTACTTGCTGGCTAACCTAGTGGCCTGAGTTTGACTCTGGGAGCCACATGGTGAAGAGAGGACTGATTCCCCTCGTTGTCCTAGCACCTCAGTACATATGACATGGCAAACACACAATAAAATAAATGAATACAAATAAAATAATTTTAAATAGAGGGTAAGAGGGGCACCAGGGGAAAAAAACAGCAACAACCCTGGACCACATGCTCCCAGCAAATAGGACACCAAGCCAGGCTATCTGCTCACCTTACGTCTGCCGTGATGTAATGAGTATGCTGGAAAACACTCTCCAGCTCGTGCCGCTGCCAGTGGGCGAACCTGTTGCTTGAGGCGCGTTTGCACCTTGGCGCTGGCACGGGCGCTAGCATGGGCGCTGGCACGGGCCCTGGCATGGGCGGTAGCATGGGCGCTGGCACGGGCGGTAGCACGGGCGCTGGCACGGGCGGTAGCATGGGCGCTAGCATGGGCGGTAGCATGGGCACTGGCACGGGCCCTGGCACGGGCGGTAGCATGGGCGCTGGCACGGGCGCTGGCACGGGCGCT